TGAAATGGCTGACATATCCTGAGCATAACCATGTATAATATCCACTGAAGTTAAAAAGAGGTGCTTTGCAACATTAAACTGCAGTGTGCAGTACGCTATTTTTCGGACCATAAGGTGCACGGGATTATAAGGCACATTAAGCGAAACAAAGCAGTCAGATAAATCAAACTTTATTAAACTCATTCTTCTTGCTTCCTCCACTTCTGTACCATTGATTCATTAATGTTGAATTCTCTGGCAGCTGCTCTATTCCCATGTTGTTGCAGTATATTAATGACTAACCTCGTATTGTGGATGGATTATCTCAGTTGTTCTCCTGACTGAAGTTTGGTCCGTTTACAGCATCCTGCCATGCGATTGCATTTGTCTCTAACCATCAGGAACCTTCACGTTAACTTTTATAAGTGGAAAAGTGTTAGTGTTCGTCCTCCAGCTTCACTGTTTATGTTATGCTAACATAGCTGTGTCGCTAGCGATCACGTAGCACATCATTATATACCAGCTAGCCCAACTTCAGTAACCCTACAAACGTCACTGCTGTTTAGTTTCCTGTCTTCATTTATGTTGGAAGTGATAGCAGAGCTGTACGTTTGATTTTTTTCAGAAATCTCTCAGTCAGAACATGCTATATCATGCTTAGGTAACTAGCGAAACTAGCGAGCTAACTTCCGCTAGCTTCCTGCTAACTTCTAACTCCGTTAAATGTAATAACTTTTGTTTTCATGGATGCCTGGAAGTTAAACTTTATAGTTACACCTGGTAAAGCAGCAATGCTGATCGTTTTATTAAAGATGAAAGAATTTAGACAGTTTTTAACTCTCAGTGATGCTGCAGTGTTGTTTGACCTGAAGCATACGGAGTTTAGGACCCAGTTACTCCCAGATTTAAGAGCATCTTAGTCCGACAAATGACAATCCGGTCGTTCAGTCTGACGTCACTAGCCGTGTCTGGGCCTAAACTCCGCTGCAGGTCCATATATCAAACGATCACTATGGCATTACTGAGAGTTGAAAAACTGTCTAAAGTCTTTCATCTTTAATAAAATGATCAGCGTTCTGCTCTACCAGGTGTAACAATTGAGTTTAACATCCAGGCATCCATGAAAACGGAATTTATGACATTTAACGGAGTTAGAAGTTAGCAGGGAGTTAGCTCGCTAGCTTCTATCTAAATACAATATAGCATGTCCTGACTGCGGGGTTTTGGAAACAAATTAAAACGTACAGCTCTGCTATCACTTCCAACATAAATGAAGACAGAAAACTAAACAGCAGTGACGTTTGTAGGGTTACTGAAGTTGGGCTAGCTGGTATATAATGATGTGCTACGTGACCGCTAGCGACACAGCTATGTTAGCATAATATAAACAAGCTAACTTTTTTTCCACTCGATAAAAGTTAACGTGAGTGTTCTCGGTGGTCAGGAACAAATGTAATCGCATGGCAGGATGCTGTAAAAGGACCAAACTTCAGCCAGGAGAACAACTGAGATAATCCATCCACAATACGAGGTTAGTCATTCATATACTGCTGCATGGGCTGGGCTGTAGTTACATCCTAAGGTTTTAAAAACTGAGCTTAAATAAATGATTAGCGGTAATAAAAGCCGAGGGAGGTCAACAGTGATCACTGACTGTTTTAGGAGCTTTTTGAGATCAAATAGAAGAAAATACAAAACATTAAACATGTTAACAACACAAAAGCCATATTAAACGCAGACTACTTTAGGCCCGGAAGTAGGATTCGTCACGTCATCACTGAACAACCGGATAACAACGGCCGCTTGCATGTTCTGCAAAGAAATGTGCTTTGTCGTGTATCTGACGGACAAACACCAAACCAGTTCCACATCACTGAAGTTGCACCATTTTTACAAACCAATTCTGGTTCATCTGTTTCACTCAACAATCGGCCATGTGCGTATGAAAACAAAGGCACTGCGCATGCACGTTTTACTCCCATTCTATCGCGATATTTCATTTTCCTATCGTTGCCTAACATTATACCGGTATTACTGTGAACGGTATAATATGGCCCAGCCCTACCGCCGGTACCTCCCAATTCAGCCTGTACTTAAAAAAACAAACAACTGACGGAGGTGACGGGCGACCATGCTCCGTCTTCTCTGAAGGCTCGCCTTCAGGAACCAATCAGCAGTAAGAATAAATCAGAGAAGCTCACACAGGGGCGCGGCTTGTCTGCCTTTTGCAGTGGGGAGACTGCAGCCCCCTCAGCCCCCCTCCTTCACACGGCCCTGTCCATGCTGTCCAGTAGGGAATGACTGTGATTGGCTGTGGTCACGAGTCGATTTGCATTTTATTAAAGATAATTTTTAATTGGTTCTTTATTTTTAGTTTTTTGCATTTTAAATATCACTCGATGGTGCACGCGTCTCTGGGTCTAGCTTCTTTGGCCTGGATGGGTTCTGTGACGAGTGGTTTCTCCTGCAGCTGTGGTGGAGCAGATCTCCATCAGCGAGGAGGAGGAGGCTGCAGCTCGTTCGCAGCAGCTGAGGGAAGACGAGGCGCTGGCCCGACGGCTGCAGGTGGAGGACGACTCGGACATGGGTACGTGTTGGCGTTACACACACACACATATGAATATTGGAACCCTTCTTTCACTGCTGCTTTAGTTTCAGCGTCTCTGACGGTTGTTGGCGACACAAACAAGCGGAACCGATCCTGGAGTTACTCTTCTCTCAGCATCAGGAACGTTAAAGTTCTTCCTAAGCTCCACTTTTATCTTTCAGCTTCTCCAAAATTTCCAATTTCCAACATTCATACATGTTGCTGATGACTCAAACGGCTGCAGGAACACGCCCACCCTCCACATTAGTTATTATTGGAACAGTTAACATGCATGTCACTCCTGCTGTCACACTTTGAACGCAGCACGGGGGCTGTTGCCTCAGCAGCTGCACCCTCAGTGGACGCTTGTCTGATCCTTCGTTTCTTCTGCAGCTGCGGTGGAGCAGCTCGCCATCAGCGAGGAGGACGCCATTTGTTTCCAGCAGGCGGAGGATGACGAGGAGCTGCAGGTGGAGGCCGGCTCAGACATCGGTACGTCAGCGTTGCGTTAGGCTGTGGTGAGTCGGTGAGTGAAACGGGCGCTGCTCTCGGGCGCTGCTCTCGGGCGCTGCTCTCGGGCGCTGCTCGGTAATCGCTGTTCGCCGTTCACTCGCAGCTGCTCGATGAGCAAACGTCACTGTCCCCACTTCCACGCTTTGCATACAGGGCGGGATTCCCACTGTGGAAGAATGATTTTGTTTTATTTTGTATTTATTTTTTTAAATGTTTTGCCTTTTTAAATCTATATCCTTCATTCATCATCATCTTCATCACTACTGTGATGTTGTGGCACGGTGGTGTGGTGGTCAGCAGGGTGTGCTCACAGTGAGAAGGTTCTGTTCTCCGGTTCTCCCACAGTCCAAACTATTATTATTACTATATGATGATGGAGTCTGTGACGAGTGGTTTCTCCTGCAGCTGTGGAGGAGCAGATCTCCAGCAGCGAGGAGGAGGAGGAGGAAGAGGAAGAGGATGCGGTTCCTTCACAGCAGGTGGAGGAAGACGAGGCTCTGGCCCGAAGGCTGCAGGCGGAGGACGACTCGGTGCTCGGTACGTGTCAGTGTTGGGGGGCGGACCTTGAGAACGATGGGGAACGTCGGTATTATTGAAACATGATTGGCTGGTGGTGGTTCCAGCCTCCTGCTGAACCTTCAGCGTTCTTCTGATGCTTTGTTCTGCAGCCGCTGTGGTGGAGCAGCTCGCCGTCAGCGACGAAGAGGAGGGGGCCACTGGTTTACAGCAGGTGGAGGATCACGAGGCGCTGCACCAACACCTGCAGGTGGAGGCAGACTTGCACCAAACGCCTCACCTGAGGCAGAGCGGACAGGTGTTCACGTTTCTGTTTGTTCCTCCAGGCTCGGCTGGACCGAGTGGAGCACAACAGACACCGTCACCACCTCCATTATCACCACCTCCACCAGCGTCTTCTTCATCGCCTCCACAGGGTGAGGCAGCCAATCACAGTCTGATCGTGGTTTTCATATTATCAAAAGTGGTGCTGCGTTCAGGAAGCGTGCGACGTTTTGCTTTGATTCGCTGACCGAGCCGTGACCTTCTCTCTGCAGGGTCGTCCCACAGAGCGCCGCTGGATGATTCAGGTGGCTCCCGGAGAAGGTAAGCACCAGAAACCAAGTACTACAGAGATGTGGTATAAATACATGCAGTACTTCAGTCCAATCAGGTCTTTGGAGTATTTGTAGTTTTTCTACTCGCTCCTGTTAAAGTAAAGATTTTTTTTCTCTCTATAAAAACTGAACAAACACAAGCTGCTCAAACCTGACTGACCAATCAAACGACAGCGTAGAAACCTGACCAATCAAACGACAGCGTAGAAACCTGACCAATCAAACGACAGC